CACCACGCAGCTTGTAGATTCAAACAGCAACTCTTTATTCCCGAACTCACACCAGCCATCTACAATCACGTTCTGGGGAAATCCACGTTCTCTGCCCAAATCCACCCCCACTGGGCTTCTGTCTCCCAAAAAATACTGTCTGAATCCCGTGAGAACTCAAGGGGAACTCAGGCAGCAGGATACGCCCTATTCCCAGCAGGAATAACCTTAAACCTTAAACCTGGAACCTAAACCGGGAACGCCCTAAACCCGGATCCGCCCTGGTCCTTGAGCAAGGTCACCTACATGCAATGTCACTGCAAAATGTCCTATTTCCACGAGTCCTTCCACTAAGCAACATGGGGTATACTGGCAAGGAATTGTCATACCTACTTGGCTAATGGCTCCCAGCATAGGATAAGACCTTCACTACTGGGAAAGGGAAGTAACTTACTAATAAGGAGGATTACTAATGGAAGGACAATCAGGAAGGGTAGGAGGAAGAGTCCTACTGGCTGAATGGCTCTAGAAGTTTCCCAGTAGAATCCGCAGGATCTACTACGCAGGATCAGTATCTGTCACAGAAAGATGGACGGCAGCAGCCATATCCATATCCACCCCAGCCATAGCTACGGCCATAGCCCAGGCTGCCATGGTAGTTGTAGTAGTAGCAGATGGTGTCAGGAGCAGAAGATGCAGTTGAAGAACAAAGAATTCTTAGTTTAAATGTCACCATCCACAGGCATGGGGCTTTCTACACAGCTGGGTGGTAAGGCAAACCCCAGGAAATGCTTTGTGTCTTAATTTAGCATAACTTTTGTGAGAAAATTATCTGAATCTTTTATTTACCTAGGAAAGGAAATTTTCTCATGGGTAGGATTGCTTTTTCTCTCAAGTGTCCCAAAATTAAATGGCATGATTTAATAAAATGTTTTAATTCTCTTTTAAAAAGAGAATCTCTCTTCTCATGTGATTAGTTTAAGGTTGATTATTAGTTTACCATTATGTTTCCATTTCTAAGTAACACTAGGTGTACAAGCAAAGTGACTATATGTCCCGATGTAATTTACAAAAAAAAAAAAAAGATTTCAGACAAGATTCTACCAATAAGACAGACTTGAATGAAACTGAAAAGATATTAGAAACACTGCAGGGCTTCATGTGCCTGTTTCACTCGACAGAATGAGGTCTCATTACTAAGGGTGTTTCTGTTTTGTGTCACAATGACCTCCATCAAATCATGGGTTTTAGAGATTTTTCTTTCCCTACATTTTTTTTTTTTGCTTTTGTTGTTGTTTTTTGTCTTGGTAACCCATACTTGATATGTCTCGATGCCTTGATATTACATCAGTCGTACAGTATCTCCTCTAACATTTGGTGTGTGGGATTGTTTGTTTGCCAAAATAACTTCAGTTTCTCAAGAAGTTGTGTAAGAATCTAATATGTGAATTTGTAAGGACATGAAAATTGTGAGAAAACTGGACCAAAACCAAGTGTTCCTTCCTTTAAAGTAGAATTTCTGAGTTTTGGGGTGCATTCAGTTTTAGCATTTTTAGGTGCTGACATAGTTTGTCCACTAAGCTTGTGCAAATCCTATGCCCCCCACCAGAAGTGTTAGCAAGGCCCAGGTCTGAGTGTGCTCAAAATTGTTTGGTATTCATAGTCTCTAGCCCTTCTGTGGGTGTAACTAGTACTATGTTGCTCTAACAACGTTGGTTATCTTTTATTATTCGTTGTTGTAAAATGTTTGTGCAAATTTTTGTTCATTTTAAAGCACATTTTGTTTCTCTAAGAGGATGAAAGTATTTATATTTATTTTTTGTCAAAATGCTTATCTAGATATATACTATAGAGATCTCCTTTTCAGTGGCTTTATTTACTTTCTTAATAATGAGTATTATGTTACACTTAAGAGAAATAATTTCTGCTTCTCCATATAGATATTAATACTGTATATATTTCAAGAAAAGCTGAAAGGAAGGATTTTGAAAGATTTCATCACAAAAAAATAATAAACTTTTGAAAAATTGAATGGATTTTTCATTACACATTGTATAATTAGGAAACATGATGTGATTCCCCATAAACATATAATTTTTGTGTATCAATTATTAACATTTAAAAATAAGAACTTTTTTATTTTGATGAAGTCTAATTGGCTAGAATTTCCTTTTCTGGCCAGTGCCCTTTATATGTTGTTTCAGAAAGTATCACTTACTTTAAATTAATAAAGATATTCCTGCATCTTATTTTGGTGAAAGGTATATAAGTCAAGATTTATTTTCTTTACATGGTTATTAAATTAACTAACATTACTCATTGTTAAGTTAATCCTTCTGTCTTCTGCTCTGCAGTGGTATCTTAGCAATAACTATGGTTACCCTATAAGTTTGAGTCTGTTTATTGAACTCCTCTGCTCTCCTTTCGTCTATGTGCTTATTCTTGAAGCAGAACCCACTCTACTTCACTAGTACACAATTATACCATTAGTAATATCAAGTCTTCATTTTTTCTCCAGTTTTGTTCCAGTGATTGATTTCAGTCACTAAGAATTGTTGTACAGCTAAATGAAGATTATGAAGACAAGTCATCCTGTCTTATTCCTGAGCCTGGTGAAAAAATTATTTCACACTTAAGAATTAAGTGTGATATACAAACTATAGAGGTCGTGAAGATGCCATTTATCAAATTGAAGAAGCTATTTTCTAGTCGTACTTTACTGGGATATTTTAAAATTCATGAATGGGAGTTCAATTTTATCATGCTTTATCTTAATCTATTGAGATATTCATATAACTTCCATTCTTTTTTCATTAATGTGATGAATTGTACTGACTGACTTTTAAGGTATTAAACCAATCTAGAATTTTTCAATCTTGGAATAGAGCTCTTGGGACTCAATTTGATGATATATTGTTTCAGATATTTGAAGGTATGTTCATAGTACATATTCCCTTTCATATAAGGTCCTTGTTAGGTTTTGATTTTCTTAGTAAGCTTTGCCCTATTCCTATTCTGTGGAAGAATATTTTTGTGATGGATAATACTTTATTATAGGTAAAGAATTTATTTGCATTAATATATTCAATTCTGTTTTGTTTTCATTAATGGCTGTCAGACTATTTGGACTTCCTATTTCTTCTTGTCTTTGTGACATAAATAAATTTCCTCAGCTGAAATTCAGATTTCCTGATGTTCTTTATATGAGTTGGGAGAGAAGATAAAAAAAAAATCAGTGGAAAAAAAAAAGAAAAATTGGAAACTGGATCCACAAATACAAGAATCTGTTGTAAGAGGAAAATTCTGATCCCGGTATGAAGAGATGGTGACAAGCATTCTTTTCTGGAAAACTTTCTGTGCAATATGGCAGACCCAGCTGTCAATCAGCAACCAGGAGGCGTGGAGACTTTCTCCTCTTTTTTTCTTGAACTTTAAATTAGTAATGAGAAGAATGTGATGAGGAAGGACAATTGTAATCACACAGGACTGCAGTGTCACAGGAAACTACCAAGGATGTGGATAAATGTGAATAGTGCTGCTTTTAGGCAATAGAGTATTTAAATCCTTAATATATAAGGATGAGAACATAAACAGATTGGAAGGAGACAATGAGACTCAGAGTCACATAAAGTATTTTACATGAGAAGTTTGGACATTTGCTCAAGATCAGTCATTTGCTTTCATCTTTAAAATATTCGCATACTTTATGTTGAAATATGTCAAAAAGTGAACTTTAAGACTAGTGAAAAATAAAGTTGCCTTGTTCACTGGCTTTACCCAGTTTAACATTTCAGTACATCTACAATTGCATTTTACTGTTGGTTCTCATCTCTGTGTCTATTTCTATCGTATCTCTATATGAACCCCTTCCTGCCTCTTCTTTGTAATTAACATATGTGACTTATGTGTCCATGTATCCCAATCCCATAAATGTCACAGTCCCTGAGGTGGAAATTTGACAACAAAGATATAGTACCGGGGCTGCTCTAAACAAGATGCTGCCTCATCCGTTGGAGGTAATCCTTTACCTTCAGGATGCCCTGGGCTTGCTGTGGATGTATCCCAGCAGGAGCAGAGAGCAAGGAGCCATTTTTCATGTTCCTTTGCTCTAGAAGAAAGATACATTTGGAGATACATTTGTACTCATGGAAGTCTAATTCAGCAGTTAGAGGAGGCCCTGCTTAATGTTTTCTTCAGGATCAAAGGAAATAGTTTACGTGTGATTTCCCATTCAGTCAGCTAGAGCAAGATTCTTGGTAGGCAAGATGAGTGGTGCAGAAAGAAGTTGCACCATATGAAGTCTGGCTGTGAAGAGATACGAGCAAAGCATCCCACAAGACATCTGTTTATGTATGTACACTACTTAACCTTTAGCAAGTACTGATAAGCAATTGAATTCATTAATCTAGGTTTAACTGAAGGAGTATTGATCAAATACAGTGATCTATATCCATCATAGTCTCAATTTTCATACAGTGATGGAAAGGCTGAATGGAGGAGAGATTTATGTGAGCCTTGCACTTTACACTTCTGGTGAATGCAGTTACCCCATTATGTGAACCATGATACCATTTTATACAATCATCTCACCATCCAGATGCTCTAAATGTGTACATGTATTTGTGCGAAGATGCCAGTTTCATTCAACTGCTCTCAAGTGAAATATACTACATGATATAACACATAAATGACAGAGGAAAATAAATATGAATGAAAATCTTTCGTAATGACAGAAAAGTTTATTGAAAAAGACACAAAAGTTATTCACATCAATTATTCAGATCATGTTAAGCTACAATTAATGAGAAGTAATACAGCATCAATAATAATTATGCATTTTGAAGCATTCTATGGGAATTTGCTGTCAACTTGAAGAATGCTGAAACTGAAGTATTTAAACTGATGATTAGGATAAAATTTTTCACTGTTAGGAAACAAATAACATTTAAGACGAACAAATGAAGGATATTCAGAAACTATACAAGGAAAACTTCTACTGGATAAGTGGTTCCAGAAGTATCTCAATAGAATCCATAGGACCAGTATCTGCCACAGCAAGATGGATGGCAGCAGCCAAATCCATATCCACCCCAGCCATAGCCCAGGCCACCATAGCCACAGCCTAGGCCACCATAGCCATAGCCCAGGTTTCCGTAGTAGTTGCTGTAGTAGCACATGGTGTCAGGAATGGGATTTCAGTCGAGGAATAGAGAATTATTCTTCTTGGTTTAAATGTCTTCTCCCCGAGCCATGGGGCTTTTTATACAAACCCAGAGGTAGGTAGGGCAAACCACAGGCATTGCTGGCTCCATAATTTAGCATAATATCCACTAGAAGAATTTGCTGAGTCTTTGGTTTACTTTGGAGAGTTCCTCATATGTAAGGTTGCTTTGCTATTATATTGAGTGTCCCAGAGTTAAGTTGCGTGATTTTTATTCAATAAAATAAAATTGTTTTTCTTCCATTGCATAAGGAAATACTCTGTGTATAATGATATTTAGGTTGATTATCAGTTTATAATCCTCTTTTTTATACCAAATAACATTAGATATCCAAGCCTATGAACTACAATTTCCCATGTGACTTTCTGAAGAACTTTCTGCATGAAATTCCATCAAGACAAACTTGCATGATATTTCAAAAATATTTAAAGCATGGGAAGTCCTATGATGCCTTCACTTCAAACAGATAGTGAAGGCCTAATTACCAAGCTTACTCTGTTTTTTTTTTTTTATTCAGAATAACCTCCTTCAAGTCATGTGTTTTAAAGACATTTTTCCCTTATTTTGTTGTGTTAACTTATATTTATTATTTAAAATATTAGGTCCTGATTATTTTAATGTGACATCGGGCATACAGTAGTTTCTCCATGATCTTTTTAGTTGGTTTGTCTTTGCCATTTTCCACAAATACCTTCAGTATCTCAAGAGGCAGCTAAGAATTTTATGTTTACATATGTCGATTTGTGAGTACCAGAAAGGGACAAGAAAACTGGACCGGACCAAGTGATCATTTCTTTAGAATGGATTTTCTGAGTTTTGGGGTGCATTCATTTTTAGCATTTTTAGGTGCTGATGTAAGTTTCATAGGACTTGTGTCAATCACATGCCCCCAGGAATTCTGGCAAGGTCTAGGTCTGAGCCTTCTCAAAATTACTTGATATTTTCAGTCACTAATTTTAGTCGTTCTGATGGGTATGTAGTGCTATTTCATTGTGATTATAATTTGCATTTTCTTGCTCTAATGAGCCTGGCCACCTTCTGTTTCTGTTTGCTGTGAAATGATTGTTGAAGTTTTTGTCCACTTTTAATTGTGTTTTGTATCTTTCTCTAATGCTTTGTAGGCATTTTTATCTAATTTTGATACAAATACTTGTATTATAAATAGCCTTTCCCTGTTGTGAAGTTTTAAACTCTGTGAAAAACTAGAACTCTTAAGGAAATCCTACTTATCAGTTTTTATGGGCATTGCTCTTTATATCTATTTAAGAAATTGTCATCCACTTCCATTAATAAGGAAATCTTATATTTTGGTGCATGATGTGTCAAAATTTATTTTGTTTATTTTTTTTATCCAATTAATCTAATACTGTTTATTGTCAATCTTGGTGCAAGATATTAAGTCCAGATTTACTTCTTTATATGGCTATCAAATGAGTCTAGCAGTATTTATTGCTGAGTCAATCTTTTTATCTTCTCTTATGCAGTAATTATTTTAGTAGTATAAGACTGGCTTCTCTATATAATTGAACCTATCTACAGAATTCCTCCTCTTTCTGTTGGTTGATGCACTTACTCATGAAAAAGGAGCACTTTTTCATGATGTGGGATTTGTTAATAATGGCAAGTCTGTATTCTCTTTTCTGGTCTCCTTTTCTTTAATTAATTAATTATTAGTTTGTGAGCTAATTATTAGATAGTGAGCTAAGACCTGTGGTACAAAGTTGAATGAATGTTGTGATAATAATCATACTTGTTTCTAACTCAGGAAGTAATTTTCTTGTATTTTAGCATTAAATATGATACAGAAGCTGCAGATTTTATGCAAATGCCATTTTTCAAATCAGGGAAGTTATTTCCTAGTCCTTCACTACAAATTTTTTAAAATTCATGAATAACTATTAAATATTATATTTTATCTTACTCTATTGAGATAGTCCTGAAACTTTTTTTTTTGTTGTTGTTAATATAGTAAGTTGGACTGACTGAGTTTTCAGATGTTACACCAATCTGGGATTTTGCAATCTTGGGGTATTGTTCAAGAGATTTGGATTGATGGTATATTATTTCAGGTTTTTATAGCCGTATTCACAAAATACCTTCCCTTTTTTGAAATGTCCTTACTAGATTTTGATTTTCTTATTAGTTTTGCCACTTTCCCTTTCTGTGGAATTGCATTTTTGTGATTGGGAGAGCTTTCTTTTTAAGTGGCTTAAGAAATTTCTTAGTGCCGCATCTAAACTTAGAACTTCCTTTATGTAAAATTTTTAAGGACAGATTCATTTTCTTGAACAGATATCAGGATATTCCAATTTCCTGACTTCTGGATATTAAAAAGATATTTCATCAGATGAGATTCCATTTTTGTTCCTTGTGTGAAGAGAGGGGAAAGGAAATCTGGAATCGGGGGGAACAGAAAGCATTGTGATTCCAAAGGAAAATTTAAAACTAGAACCACAAGTAGAAGAATCAGGGTTGTAGGAGGGAAGCTCTGGCCCAGGTGCACCTCTGTGACCAAGGCTGGTTCTGGAGAACATTCCACAACATTGACAGACTGAACCACTGGGTCAGCAAGGAGGATGCATGGCAGGTTTTGTCCTGGACTCTTCCTTGAACTGCAAAGAAGCAACCAGAATAATGTGATGTGGAAGGAGCGAAGTACAATCACACAGGAGCAGTGTCCCCAGGAAACTGCCAATGGTATACATATGGAAATAGTACAGCTTTAGTAGGCAACAGATTATTTAAAACCTTAGTACAAGAGGATAAAAATATAGCAAGGTCAGATACATACAATAGGAGAGACTCAGAATCACATTGAATGATTTTTTATGAGCAGTTTAGAAAAAAACTGGTGAACAGTCTTTAGACTTTGACCTTTTTTTGAGGGGGAGTGGGGTGTACCAGGGACTGAACTCAGGGGCTCTCAACCACTGAGCCACATCTCCAGCCCTATTTTGTATTTTGTATAGAGATAGGGTCTCACTGAGTTGCATAGTGCTTCGCCATTGCTGAGGCTGGCTTTGAACTCATGATCCTCCTGTCTCAGCCTCAAAAAAGACTTTGGCTATTAATGGTTAAAATGGTTGCATATTTCAAAGAGAAAAATCCAAGACCAGTGCAGTGATTTTCTGTTCTGGTCTCACATTCCTCAATGTTAACATTTCAGTACATCCACATTTAAAACATTACTCTGCTTCCCATCTTTGTCTCCTTGTCTCTCTCTCTCTCCTTTCTTTCTTTTTTTTCGTCTACCACCTATACCACCTGACTTACATATGTCTGTATCACAATGCTATAAATGTCACTGTCCTCAAGGCAGGTAGCATACAGGTATGTTTATGTTTTTGATGTACTAATTGAGGATTGTGGCTCCTCCAAACACAATTATGCCTCATTCATTGAAGTCACCTGTTGTCTTATGATTGCCTGAACTAGATGCAGAATGAATATATATATATATATATATATATATATATATATATATATATATATATTTATTTATTTAAAAAAAATACACACACACACACACACATACACACATACACACAGGTACTGGGAATTTTCTCTATATAGATAAATTATATCACCAGTCCTTTTTTGTTTTTATTTATTTATTTATTTTAATTTTGAGTTGAAGTCTCATTAAATTGCTAAAGGTCTTGCTAAGTTGCTAAGGCTGACCTCCATCTTGTGATTCTCCTGTCTCATCCTCTGCAGTTTTGGGGATTACAGACATGTAGCACCACATCTGGCTGATTTCCAGATTATTTTTGCACAGCAGTGGAAGGAATGAGACTACTTTTCATCCTCCTCTCCTTTGGATAAGAACATAGGTGCAGATAGAAAGAAATTTGTATTCATGGAAAGTCTAAACTGGGAGTTGGAAAAGGCTTTGCTTAAAATTTTCTTTGGGTTCAATGTAACACTTCATATATTAGTTTGCTGGACATGGAGTCAGGAGGAAGGAAGAAGATGTGTGGGTGAGGATCATGGAGAGTGCAATAAGAATTCAAATTGTGAGAAGACTTGCTCAGTAGAGGGCACACATAGAACATCCCTCACACAGTGTGATTTCTTTATGTGCGTGTGTGAATTGATAACAATATTGTCAAAAATATCGTAAAACTAATCTTGCTCAGCACTATAATTTTATATGAAGATGATCTGGCCAAATAGAGTGATCTACATATATCATACATGATCACTCTTCTTAGAGAGTTGAACAAAGGATAGTAATACCTGAGCCCTGCACCTTACACACCTGCTGAGTGGAGTGTTCTCTCTTAAACTGGTGCACAATACAATCTGACATAATATTAACCTCTGACCATCCAGACTCTCTAGATGTGGCAATGTACTTCAATAAAGATCCTGGTTTAGTCCACAAGTTTTTAAGTGAACTGTGCTCACTCCATCATGCAAACACAAATGAGAGAAAAATAATGAATATAAACACAGAGAATTTTGCAGTGAAAGACAAAATTTATTGAAAAGGAAACATTTTTTTCACATATAATCTGGTAGGCTAAATAAGTGATAAAACAGCAATATAAAATATGAACATTTTTACAAAATGGGGAGGTGTTACATGCAACTTTGGTTGTTCAGGTTGAAGCAAGCTGAATCTGAAATGCTCCTTCAGAAGGTGAGATTGTCCAAGATAATAATTTTATGCTTGGGAAAAAGAAATAAATTAATTTATTAGAGGAATCTTGGAAAGATAGTGAGGAAGCATAGGAGGAAGAGTTCTACTGACTGAGTGGTTCTGGAAGTTTCTCAGTAGAATCCATATGACCAGTAAGATGGGCGACAACAGCCATATCTGTATCTGCCCCAGCCATAGCCGCAGCCATAGCCCAGGCCACCATAGCCATAGCCCAGGCCACCATAGCCATAGCCCAGACCAGCATAGCCACAGCCCAGGCCGCCATAGTAGTTGCTGTAGTAGCACATGGTGTCGGAGTGGGAGTTCAATAGAAGAATAGAGAATTATTCTTCGTGCTTGAAATGTCATCTTCCTTAGGCACAGAACCTTTTATACACAGTCAGGAATGGGTGGGGTAAACCACAGTGATGGCTGTCACATAATTTAAATAGTTCCCATAAGAAAATTTACTGAATTTTTTGTTTAGTTAGGAAAAGAGAGTCCTTCATAACTAAAATTACTTTGCTATAATACCAAGCATTTCAAATTTAAATGACATGATTCTATAAGACATTCCCCATTTATTTTGAAAAACAGTTACTCTGTGTGATTAACTTTAGGTCCATTCTCAGTTTATCATTCTGTCCCTATTCTCAAGTAGCATGAAGAATTCGAGCCCAAGTATTACATTTCCAGAAGTGAGTTACAAGCAAGCTTCCACCAGGAAGAAGGATGTGATTGTGATTTCAAAGACATTGGAAGCACTGGATGTCATCTTGAGCCTCTGCTTCACCAAAGTGACATCCCCATTATCAAGTTCACTTTGGTTTTATGTCAGAAAGACTTCTACATGTGTTTTTATAGTCCTTTGTTTTCTTCTTATTATTATTTTTTTTAGTAAGGGAGAGGGGTTACTAGAAATTTTACCCAGAGGCAATTTATCACTGTGCCATGTCTCTGGCACTTTTAATTTTTAAATTTTGGACAGGGTATCACTAAGTTGTTTAGGGCTTCACCAAATTGCTGAGGCTAGCCTTGAAATTTCGATCTTCCTGTCTCAGCTGGGATTACAGGTCTGCACCATTATGTCTAGCTGTTTGCCTATATTTATTCTCCATTTTGTCCACATTTATTTAATTAAAACAATGTGTCCAAATTATCGGATATAACATAAAGCATATAGTCTATTTTCCTATTCTGTATATTTTGACTTGTTTTCTGAAAATAGCTTCAGTTTCTCAAAAGGCAGTGTTAGAGTTTGTTTGTGAATTAATGTTTGTGTGGAAGGAAAAAGAAAACTGGACTTCACAAAGGGAACATTTCTTTAGGATGAATTTCTGAGTTTTACTGTGTGTATACTTAGCATTTTTAGGTGCTGACCTAAAAACACAGTTGCCACTGGTATTATAACAATGACATGCCCAAAAGGAATGTTGGCAAGATCGAGGCTCTGATACTTCTCAAAATTTCTCGGTGTTTTCAGTTACTAACATTAGTGATTCTAAGAGGTATGCAATCCTGCTTCTTTGTGGCTATAATTTGCATTTCCTTACTTTAAAAAGGTTGACTGTAGCTTGTTTCATTTGTTGTAAAACCCTTGTGCAAGTTTCTGGTCATTTTGAATCTTTGTTTTCTTTCTTCCAGTGATTTGTAGGTGTATTTATTTATTTTTGCTACAAACCATTTTTAGATGTATATTCTAGATATCTTCTCCCATTAGTGGCTTTTTAGTTTTTCAAAAACAAAAATCCTTAATTTTGAGGAAATCCGTTTTCATAATATATTCTTTCACAATTTGTACTCTTTATGTCCTATAGAAGATATCATCTCCCACTTCACATTAACAAATTCATAGCTGCATCTATCTTGATGTGGTTATTAGTGAAGACTTTCTTATTTGTTTATCGAAGTAATCCAACTTTAATTGTTGTTGAATCAATATTTTCATCTTCAGTACTGGATTGATAGCTTTGTAGTATAAATTTGATTGCCACATATGTCTGAATCTGATTATAAAATCTCTCTCCTTTCTGTTGTTCTAAGTACTTATTTTTGAACCAGGACTACCTATTTACCACATAGATAATATAATTTTTAATACTGTCATGTCTGTATTTCATTCCTATTATTCGTGCTATATATTGATGTTTGCATTTATTTATGTTTTTGTTGACTAGCACTTGTGGTACAAAATGAATGAAAGTTGACTTGTAGTCATGCTTGTCTTTTTCTTGACTAAGAACATCCTTGATCTTTAGCATAAGTGTGATGTAAAAACTATAGATTTTATATAGGTACCACTTATTGAAGTGAGGAGATTATTTTCTAGTTCTACTTAACTGATTTAAAAAAAACACAAATGAGCCCAAATTAATAAAAAGAAGCAAGAACAGATAACTAGAATTATATCAAACAAAGAATGTATTCCCTTGAAAGAAAATAATCAACGAAATGAAGAATCCTACAGAATGGAAAAAAATACGTGGAAATAATTCACCTGTCAACATATATAAGGAACATCTAGCATATATAAGGAACTAGAAAAACTGAATAAAAAATAATAATACAATTAAAAATAGGCAAATGATTCAAACAGACATTGCTAAAAAAGAGAAATACAATGGACAACAGAGACATGAAAAGATTCTCAATATCATTGGCCATCTGAAAATTGAAAATCAAAACCACAATGATATCATTGTACCCCAGCTATAGTAACTGCTATTAAAACAAACAAAAAACAACAAGAAAAACAAAAACAAAAAACCCACAACTAACCAAATACTGGTGATGTTGTTGAGATAATGGATGGAATGTAAATTATTTCAGCCTTTATGGAGAATAAGAATGGATGTTCTTCAAACAACTAAAAATAGACCTGACACATAATCCAGCTATCTCATTGTTGGATATGTATCCAGAGGAAATGGGATCAGCATACTAAAGAAATACTTGCATTCCCAAGTTTATTGCAGCATTATTCACAATATTTAAGATAGGTAATCAACCTAGAGAGCCATTGAGATGTGAGTGGATTAAAAAATATAGTACATATACAAACATGATGGAAGATTATTCAGCCATAAAAATAATAAAGTTCTGTCATTTCCAACAAAGCAGATGGAAATGGGAGACATTAGGTGATGTGAAAGAAGCCAGACCCAGAAAGATAAATATTGCATGTTTTCTCACGTATAGAAGTTTTAATAAAAGAGGTGGGTGTGTATCTGAATGTAGACTATTGATTACTAGAGGCTGAAAAGGAGAGTGGGGAGGAAGAGAGGAAATGGGGAAATGGAGTTAGAATAGAAAAAGGGTTCAACAACACAGAAGGAACAAATTCTGATTTTCCATACAGCAAAGGGTGATTATAGTTTAAAATAAACTATTATATATATTATGAATTGATAACAATGATAACAACATTATATACAATATATAATATTATATATATTATGAATTGATAACAATATTAATCCTCACCCACACATCTTCTTCCTTCCTCCTGACTCCATGCCCAGCAAACTAATGTATGAAGTATTACATTGAACCCAAAGAAAATTTTAAATAAAGCCTTTTCCAATTCCCAGTTTAGACTTTCCACGAAAGAAACTTGAAGTTTCCAAATATAAAAAAACAACAACAGAGTAAAGGGAATGATAATGACCCTGATTTGATTATTGCATGTTATATGTATCCATTGACATATCACAATATACTTCATTAATATGTACTTAATTAATATGTATGATTTTTATATGTCAAAAAGTTGACAAATGGATACTGAATTTCTCATGTTTTGTTTTAATCTATTGAGAAGTTCACATATTTTTTTTTCCTTTTTTATTAATGCTATGATTGCACTGACTGAATGTCTATGCATTAAGCCAATCTGGAATTTTACAAAATTGGAATGTAGCTTTTAAGGCTTGGTTGATAATAAATAGTTTAAGATTTTATAACTATATTAACAGAATGTATTCCCTGTCTTGTAATTTCCTTGTTAAAATTTTATTTAATTTTTTAGTATGTTTTGCCCTTTTCCAATTATGTTGATGAGTACTGGTATGATTGGTAGCACTTTTTTATTCAGTTTTCTAAAGAATTCTGTAGTGAAGACATCTGAATATAGAGTTTCCTTTGCATGTAATTTTAAATGACAGAACTATTGTCTTTAATTGCTATCTGCTATTTGAATTTTCTGTTTCTTTATGTCTATGTTACTTGAATTTTATTTCCTCAGATTAATTTCCATTTTCCCACTGTTTCCTGTATGAGAAGGGGTTGAAGCAGATTTGGAATTAGTGAGAAAAGGTGACATGATTTCTAAGGAAAAGTTGGGCCCACAAATACAAAAAGAATCAGTGATAAAATAGGGAAGCCCTAATTCCCATGTGCAGAGATAGTGACAAGGGCTCTCTGTTGTGGACTTTTTGCACAAGATTGACAGCAGGAATCAGCAGTCAGGAGGCATGGCTGGTTTGCTCCTCTCATTTTCTCTGAACTATAGTGGAGCAATCACAAAATCACAATAATGTGATGTGGAAGAAACTAATTGCAATCAAACAGAAGTATAGTGCTATGTAAAAATTACAATTTTATGTATATATATATATATATATATATATATATTCATTTATATGTACATACATATGGCAATAGTGCTATTTTTGTATGCAATTCATCATTTAAAACTATAATGTATAAAGACGATGACCTCGCCAAGTCAGATATAAATAATAAGGCTGGCAAAGTCACGTGAAAGCATTTTATACGAGCAATTTAGACAGAACTGGCTAGTACACATTAGCTTTTGTATTTTCCCTTTTAAATATTTTGTATAATTTATGTTGAAATATTTTGAAGAGAAAAGTGTAAGACCTGCAAAAGAATTTATGTGTCTTCTGCTCTCCAATTTCATAAAATCTAGTGTTTCAGTAGCTGTACATTATACCATCTCTCGTTTCTATCACTATTTCTATCTCCATCTTTGCCTCTCTTTCTATATTATTGTCATGTGTTGAGATATTTGTATGATTGTTTCTTTTTCCATTAATTTTATGAATTGAACTGTCTGAATTTCCAGATATTAAACTAACCTGAGATTTTGCAAACTTGGTATACAGCTCCACAAGCTTGGTTAGACAAGCCTTCTACTGTCTCTGACATCTAACTTCTATTAGGCCTAACATCTTGCTTAATCTCCCATGTATTTCAATCCTATAAGTGCCACAGTCCCTTATAGGCATTTGGACATGCCAGTTCTAGGAATGGGACACTTCCAAAAGAGTTTTGCCTCAATATTGGG